TTAGGTGCCCTACACAGAATGCAGCCATTCTGCGTAGGGCACCTAAAAATTTTGGACACCACTGGGTCTTAGTGTCCACCCCTTAGTGGCTGCATTCTGCGTATGCCTAAAGATGGCTCTGGATCTCCCACTCCCCACCCCCCCACCAATCTAACAATCACCCCCAGTTCTTTGGGGGTCTCCTACTCCCCTGCCCCCCACCAACCTAACAATCACCCCAGTTCCTTGGGGATCTCACACTCCCCCCCCATCAATCTAACAATCTTCTCCCAGCCCCTTGGGGATCTCCCACTCCCCCCCATCAATCTAACAATCATCCCCCAGTTCCTTGGGGATCTCCCACTCCCCCCATCAATCTAACAATCATCCCCCAGCCCCTTGGGGATCTCCCACTCCCCCCAGCCCCGCACCCTCAGGGTCTCCCTGGCTCAGCAAGTGTCTGTCAGGGGGAATGCAGGGGGCTGACCCGCTGCCTTCACTTACTCTGCCTAGCTGTCTGGCTGGTAGGACGCCGTGTGTTGTGTTGTGCAAGCCTCAGGCTTCTCTCTGCCTTGGCAGCTTTCCCCACCTCGTTGGCCAGAGTCCAGTGGTGGGCGGGAATGCAGAGAGCATGTCAGAGGAACTCATTGCCATTCTGGCAGCTCCGCACAGACAGGAAGTTTTTTGTGGACATTTGTGAGGGTTCCTCTTTCCCAAGTCTCCCATTCTGGCCTGTTTCCCAGAGCCGGGGAGGGAAATGGGGGGCGGCGAGAGAGAGGATCAGTCCACCTCTGTGGATCTGGGTGCCTGTAAGAGAGACAACATGGACCGGAGACAAAGACCATGCGCAGGGAGAAAATAATGTTAATTACTCTGAATTTTCATGAAGTATGCATCTGTGGTGCCCACAGCACAGCCCTGAGCACTTGGAGGCCCCTCTGTATCCCCAGTATATCTTCTGTATACAACATTGGCCCTGTGACCCAGGGAGCCCTTGATGCTAGCTGGCAGAGGGCACAGGGGATCATAGGATTTTACAGGGATCCCCTGGACTGGCTACCTGCCTAATAGTTCACCCAAGGGTGGCATGTGAAGTCTCTAGTGAGAGCCAGTTGCCTACTGGTTGTCACGGTCATTGTGCAATGTACGTACAGGTAATATTTAAAGAGTCATGTATCTATAATAAAAAATATGTTCTTAAGGTCTTGGAGTTAAAGCCGGTCACCAGGCAGTGACATACCTCAGAGATGTTCCTTTCAGACAGAAGGTAATAGACACCTATTTCCCTGTCTGGCCATTTGTGTGTTGTGCAGGATGTCTGTTTGCAAACTGAGCCAGGTGTGAATTGAGAGGCTGTGAAATCTACAAAAAAGAAGGAGAAACAAGCAGCAGGGGTGGGGGTGGCCTGTTGATGAATAAAGATAAAGGATTGACCTGGTATATCTTGGTGTGCAAGAGACACACTGAATTCTTCACCAAGGAGGCCAACTGACTGCATTCTTCTCATGAAAGGAGGGTCCCAACCAGGTTGGCTGTAAAACTCTAGAAGGATTTCAGGCGAGCACTATTTTACAAGACATGAGAGTATCTTGTGAATTAAGTCTAGGTTCTAGAATGCATGTTATGATTTTGTTTTATATGTAGCCATTCGTTTCCAATGCTTCCACTTGCTACTATTATGATCTCTCTGCTTTGATAAATAAACTTGTATTTGGTTTCACTATAAACAAATCGAAGTGGTGTGAATTGAGCAGAGTGGTGGTCTGAGGTGGAACTGGTAAGCTGGGCCATATGGCTTCTTTGGAAGTAGCAGATTGATGAAGTCTGTGAATGTCTAGAGGACCAGGGGGTGGGCACTCCAGTGGGATGCTTGGAGGGCGCCTGTTGCTAGCCTGTAGAGAGACTGCAGGACCTGGAAGGCATAGAGGGGAGTGATTGTGTTGCTTGTGGCTAATGGAGTTGGGGAGCTGACCCCCACCAGGCACAGACAAGGCTCCCTCATGCTAAGGGCAGGTGGTAGTGAGATGCTTTCAGCCCTGGGTGACAGGCACACTTCCTTCACACAGCCCTGGCAACATGCCTCAGCCCTGCCTTGGAAGGAATAGCTGCCTCTGGGGGTGAGCGGGACCCCTGCATGCCCTTGTCCTCAGCCTCATCTCCTCATAGCACCGTGGCACTAGCAGCCTGTGGCTGACAATGGCCGGAATCTGCTGCAGAAGCTGTGGGGTTTTGGGTAAGCTGCTCGGGAACTTTCCCTGGGAAAATGCCCTTTTTGCATAGTCCGGAGTTTTCAGCAGGATGGCTCCCAGGTTGGCCGGCCTCGAAGATTCATGTCAGTTTCACTGCCTGAATTTCATCTGAATTTCAGAATGTGAAATTGACAAAAGCCATCGCAGAGGGGCTGCCCAATCATAGTGCCTTGACTCTGTGGTGCTCCGGCTCTCAGCCTCCCTACCTCCTCCCCAGCTATGGGGCTGAAGAGGCTGAATGTCCTGGCTGGCTTTCTGCTGCTCCAGCTCTCGGAGATGGGGGAATCAGGAAGGTTGAGTGGCTGGGCTCAATCCCTTTCTGGCTGCCAGAGCCAGGGGCCAGGGTGAGTGGTGGGGCTCTTTATCTGTTGCAGCTAGGCAGGACGGCTCTTGTCAGTTTCACTTTCAAAAACTAACAAGTGTTTTCCAGGTGGGCAGCTGAAAAACTCCAAAGAAATTTTACTTGAGATCCCTCCCTGCAAACAATGTCACATGTTTATCTTTTCCTCCTTGTTTGGAAGTTTTTCAAAAATGCGACATTGTCCCGGAAAGGGATTTCCATTTTCCAGCCAGCTCTAGGGAATATGTCTGTGTCCAGTTACCTTTCACTGTGGTGTTGACCGTGATTTGTAACTGTAATGGTCCTTGTGAATTAGATCATCCATCTGGTGTGTGAGGAGGAAGCTATGTTTGGGAAATGGGGCAATCAAGGCTGCGTTGGCTCTCTGGCCCCATCAGCAGAGAGTGGCTTTCCCTGTTTGAACAATGGGGTTTTGAATAGACTTACCTCTTCCCAGAGACCTTTTAGGGGGAGAAGAGAGGAGGCTGGAATTCCTTCCTTCTCCCCACTCCCCAATCTTGGCCCATGATTTAAAGAGCTGCACTTTTTCTCCAGCTCACCACCTGACATGGTGTCAGGAAAAGTCTGCTTTTAAAGGAGACATGCTCTCTAAGGAAGGAGAGCCAGTTCACTGCCAGAAAGACAAGACATAGCTGGAGGCATCGGGGCAAGAGGCACCTTGTCATTCCTCTAGGACCCTGGCCAAAGCCCCAAGGACTCTCAAGAGGGATGAGAACTCCAAGGAGGTAAAGATGGTGAACTGCATTCAGATGTTCATTGTTTTGTCTACATCTGAATCTCTCCTGTACTGTCTAAGGCCTGGTCTACACTACGGGTTTAGGTCGACTTTAGCAGCGTTAAATCAAATTAAGCCTGGACATGTCCACACAACGAAGCCCTTTCTTTCGACTTAAAGGGCCCTTTAAACCGGTTTCTTTACACCACCTTCAACGAGGGGACTAGC